AGAGAGAGAGAGAGAGAGAGAGAGACTCCCAAAGTACAAAAGAAAAAACTACACCCAAACCTAGTCAAGTGTTATTACTGCTGCCAAACAGGACTAGACAGGACATAACTACGCAACAGATTCGTTATAAATAAGTGCGTCCCAATAGGGATGCTTATAACAGGAGAGACCATCTTTCACTTTAGTAATATACAGATAATTCCTTGATGTATATATTACCCCACATACTTTATGGCCTCAGTCTCTAGACACATTACATATTCTTGCTTGTTTGTTTCTCGACACAGGGTTTCTCTATGTAACAGCCCTGACTGTCCTGGAACTGCTTTGTAGACCAGGCTGGCCTAAACTCACAGAGATCCACCTGCCTCTGTCCCCAAGTGCTGGACTAAAGGCATGAGCAACCACACCCAATTCAGATTAAATATTCTTGAAAGTTTCACTAGTTTGCCAGTACTGCACAACTTTAATGTCAGCACTACAGAGGCAGAGGCAGAGGCAGGCAAATTTTTGAGTCTGAAACCAGTTTAAGAAGAAGATGTTCTGGGCATGAAGGTATAAGCCTTCAATTGCAGCAATCTAGAACTTAATCTACATAGTGAGTTTCAGAGCTATACAGTAAGACCCTGTCTCAAAATAAAAAAAAAAGGTATAAAACAATGGAAAGATGTTATGATCAAAATGCATTGCATATAAGATCAAACTTGAAAAATTTAAAATAATTATCTTTTGTAGGACCTTAATAAAAGCTAAATAAACTTTCTACTGCTGGCCTACATCCTTAGTACAATAAACCATTTTAATCCTACCTAGTAAGTCTCATTTAGAAAGCTTATTAAAATCCTGATCAGAGTTATATTTTTTAAAAAATCCCACAATACTGATTAACAATATTAAAATTGTTAATATTTTTTTAATTTTTTAATAGGTTTGGGTAATAAAAAATTTAAGTCATTTTGTCATAACATTACCACATACAGAGCTTTCCTCAGGAGTTACTGTTCTTTATAATGGAAAAGATTCAGTGAAAACCCTGATTTGAGCCTGACTTGGAAGGCAGATACAGGTGGATGGATTTCTATGAATTCTGCGCCATCCTGTCTACATAGCAAGTTCCAAGCCAGCCAGAGATAGTAAGTCACTGCGAGACGAAAATAGACCCTGCCGAGGCCAGCCTGGTCTACATACAGAGCGAGTTCCAGGACAGCCTCCAAAACAATACAGAGAAACTCTGTCTCAAAAAAATAGACCCTGTCTTAACACTCCTGCAAACACTCACACACAACAATAAACAAAATTTTAAAATAATAGTTATGATTTTTCCCCAGAATTTCTATTTCTTACATGTAAAATGTTATTTTAAGTTATTAACCTTTGCCAAGCACAGTGGATCATACCTTTCTTTAATCTGGGCATTGGGTAGACAGAGGTAGTAAATTCAAGGCCACCCAGGGCTATATAGTGAAATCCTACCTCAAAAGCAAACCAAAATAAATTGTTAATATTTTTTAATTCAGGAAGTACATTACAAAGTATATATACCCTTCCAAATATTTTTCTGTACACTAAATCCACACACGTTTTACTGTGTGTACTTTTTATAGAACTTTATAACTCCTGAAAAGGTTTTCCTTAAGCCAACAACAATAGGGCAGGCAGCCTCCCACATTGGTTCCGAGATCTATCTCTGCACAGAAGGGGTCAAGTGGTTAAGAACTTGCCTAGAATGTGTAAGGCCCTGGGTACATCCCCAGCAGGAGAGGAGAAACTGCAAAGTAGACCATGGCTTGTAATCAGGTTCAGGTAAATCATCACATACCTATCCTGAGCTATCCCAAAATCCCATTCCATTCCCCAGATACTTCTTGAGCATTTCTACCCTCTAGCTATACATGCCAGAAATTTTTGCACCCCTCCTCTGAAACAATTAGAGCCTCTTTCTTCCCTGCCACATCCCCAGTAACCTTCCCTTTCTATGACATTGCAGCAGTAGCACATTATCTCTGCCTGTAGGTAGCTTGTCTCTTCATACTTGGTTATCATGGTGGTTTTCTAAAATAACCCTCATTAAATTTCTGGTGTATCTCTGTGAGTTGCAGGCCTGCCTGGTCTACACAGAGTTCCAGGCTGTAAAACAACACTTAGGAGGTAAGAGGAGGATTGGGAATCAGGGACCAGTACTCGACCCTAAAAGTTCATCTCAAACCATGACCAAAACCACAACGAAACAAATTGTTTTTAGTCACCGCACCTCCGCCCCAGGACTTAAAAGAGTCCGCTATCATTCAGGCTATTACTATGAGTCTGTAACACATTTAAAATTCCTAAAAGTTGATAACCCTGACTACAGGATAGAGCCCAAATTCGTTAATCAGGAAAACACTCTAACTTCCCTCTAAAATAATTGTATTCCGTCTGCTCTCCAAAACACACTCTTTTTTATCACTCTACTTGGCTAACTTTCACCAACCCTTCAGGATTTAATTCAATACTACTTCCAATAAACCTTCCAAGACTCCACCTGGCTGGTGACTATTCTCATGTGTAGAGTTGACTGTGTAGACTAGATATTCAGCATGTTCTGTAAGTGAGAGACAAGTGCCAAAGGAAAAAAACTAAAATGTCAACAGAGCCAGATGTGGTAAACATGCCTGCAATCCTAGAAGTTGAGAGACAGAGGCAGAGGCACATGACAGTTTCAATATGGAGACCAGCCTGGTCTACATATCAAATTCCAAGCCAATAACCTATACATAATGGGATCCTGTCTAAAAACAACAAAAAAGTGAGCAGAGGATCAGCAAGATGTCTCAACCACAAAACCTGGCCACCTGAATTTGAGACCCAAGACCCACATGGTAGAAGGAGAACCAATTCCTGCAAATTGTGCTCTGGGGTGTGTGTGTGTGTGTGTGTGTGTGTGTGTGTGTGTGTACATATACACACTCATATACACACATATATACAAAGCAATTTAAATGATGTTAACCCACAAAGAATGTCTTACTTTTAAAAGTGGACTAAGTAGCTGGAGAGTTGGCTCAGCAGTTAAGAACACTTGTGGCAGGCAGTGGAGACACAGCTTTAATCCCAACATTTGAGAGGCACAGGAAGGTATATCTCAGTGTATTTGAGGCCAGTCTTGCCTACAAAGCAAGGAAACCCTGTCTCAAGGAAAAAAAAACCAACTTGTTGCCCTACAGGAGACCAGAGTTTGGTTGCCAGTATCCACATGGTGGCTCAACAATCTACCAACTCCAGTTCCCAATGATCTGATGCCTTCTTCTGACCCCCTTAGGCATGCACATGATGCAGTGTACATGCAATCAAAACACTCATCCACATAAAATAAAAATAAACATAAACATAAAAATACTTTAATGCAAAGGTAAACAGAAAGCCTAAATCATCTCAAGCTTTATGTTTTATAAAGCTCCTGCAGTCACACAGCAGCATAAGCAAAGTGAAGCATCTTTCACATGAAGCCTTTTCTAACATACTAAAGTGTAAGTTAGTTTCTCTAAAGTTGTACTCTGAAGTCCCTCATATTCTTCAAGAGATCAAGCTTCTAATTCTAAGTTATAAAGATAGTTCACATTTTGACAGAACACACTTCTCTTGCAAGTGACCCAAGTTCAATCCCCATAATATGGCAGCTCACAACTGTCTATAACTCTAGATCCAGGGAATTCAGTGCAGCTTTCTGGCCTCTGCATGCACCAGGCACTCACATAGTACATATACATATATGTAGTCACTCATGCAAATACAAAATAAAAATAAGCCAGGAGTGGTAATTCATGCCTTTAATCCAAGACCTCAGAAGGCAGAGGCAGTCAGATCTCAGTGAGTTCATGTCCATTTTACGTTTTACAACTTGCCTTCTGAAAATAGTTACTAGGTATAAACATGATGAAGAAAAATGTATGTGTTCTTTATACCTAAAAACTGGCCATAGGCTGGGCGGTGGTGGCACATGCCTTTAATCCCAGCACTCAGGAGGCAGAGGCAGGCAGATCTCTGTGAGTTTGAGGCTGGGCTGGACCGACAGCCTCCAAAACAATACACAGAAACCCTGTCTCGTAAAACCAAAAAAAAAAAAAGAACTGACCATATATATTTTGGAAGTTCAATAAAGTTCTACGACAGCTCCTTGGCTTATACTGACTTAAAAGATATAAGAGCTGCCTAATCAGAAAAAATAAATAAATACCCTGTAACTAGCTTTGCAAAACAGAAGGCAGGTCTTTTTTCTTTTTTTTTTTTTTTTTGGTTTTTTTTTTTTTTTTTTTTTTTTTTGGTTTTTTTGGTTTTCCGAGACAGGGTTTCTCTGTATTGTTTTGGAGGCTGTCCCAGAACTAGCTCTGTAGACCAGGCTGGCCTCGAACTCACAGAGATCCGCCTGCCTCTGCCTCCCAAGTGCTGGGATTAAAGGCGTGAGCCACCAACGCCCGGCTTATATAATACTTTTAAATTTTCATGGAACTCCATGTTTATCAACTCAACAAGCAATGTGAAATTATGAAACTAAAAACATTATATTCTCAAATATTAAAAATTCCTAGGAATAAACCAATAGGACAATAGTAAACTACAACACAGCCAAGTTAGAACAATCTCCCCTTACAGGAAAGAGAAGCTGGCAATACCAGATCCAGTTTTCAATTAAATTAAAATATTTTAGTGCCTATTATGAACCAGAGATCAATAGATACAGATAGATTAGGTAGAGAAATAGATATCCTATATGTACTATATATAACCTCCATTTATCTGCTAGCTGAAAAAGTATTAAAGCTTAAGAATTATTGTTTGCTCAGCATAACTGTACATACCTACAATCCCTGATGTGGAAGGCTGAGGAAATATTCTAGGCCAGCTCAAACTACATAGAGTTCAAGGTCAACCTGGGATACATAACAGACCTTATCTTAAAAAAATAAGAGAGGGAAGAAAGGAAAATAAGGAAAAGACTATCAAAGGATTGCTATGATAAATACCTGTATTATCTCAAAAGGCATGAATAGTGATCTGGGAGAAGACCTTCTATTAAACTGTACATATGTACATATAGTGGAGAAGAACAGTTGTCTATCGCTTATTTCAAGTTGGCAGGTATGGGAAATTCTGTTAGAGTCTTACAACAAAGTAACAACAGTCACCAGTGGCACTGCAATTTTTGCTGATGTCTTGTAAGACACCATCCATTGTTTCTGATTTTTCTGTAGCAATAAGACTCAAGTTTTCCCTCCAATAACAGTAACTGCCCCCTGAAAAGTGATTCAGGGCACAAGGCTGACTCAATAAGAGTTGGATACAGTATCTCAGAAACCCTGTCCCTGCCACCTGCTGCTCCAATATCACCCGTTCATTGTTCACAGCTTGCCACCGCTGACATCAACTTTGATGACATAACAAACACGGTAGAACACTTCCTGGGCTTCCCCCCTAAAGCCAGGCATAGTAGTTCACATTTAATCCCAAAATTCCACAAGCATATCTTCCTCCATTTAATCTCAGTCAGCCTGGTCTATATAGTGGGTTGCAGGGCCACAGTGAAACCTCTTGCCTTTTAAAAAAGAAAGAAAAAAACTTTTATTTAACATTGACAGAATTATAGACCTCTGGAGTATGCAATCCTCCAGCAGGCGCTGTTTTACCAGGATGCAACACGGGTGCTCAGATTATGAGCCCTCAAAATAACTAGGGTCTTTGTAGTTAAAGAGAAATTTCAGACAAATATAAGGTTTTTGTTTTTCTTTTTTATTAATTTATTTTTTACATTTCAATCCCAGCTCCCCCTCCCTCCCCCCACCCCCCCCTCCCATCTGCTCCATGGAGAGGGTAAGGCCTTCCCTAGGAAGTCTACGAAGTCTGTCCCATCATCTCCTTTAGGCAGGATTCCTCCCCAACCCATGTCTAGGCTGGGCAAGGTATCCCTCCATATAGAATGGGCTCCAGACAAATGTAAGTTTTCACTATGACAATTACACTTGACATTTGTACAATGAGAACTTCCTGTGTATATATCTACTTTTAAAATTCTGCCTCAAAAGAGTCCTTCAGTTCAAAATATTTGCTTTTAGGTAGCTAACATAATTTTAGTATGATTTTAGTTAATGTAAAATCAACTAACTTCAAGCCGGGTGGTGGTGGTGCACATCTTTAATCCCAGCACTCGGGAGGCAGAGGCAGGCGGATCTCTGTGAGTTGAGGCTGGGCTGAACCAGACAGCCTCCAAAACGATACAGAGAAACCCTGTCTCGTAAAACCAAAAAAAAAAAAAAAAAAAATCAACTAACTTCATAGTCTATGCTTTTCAAGTGTGATAAAACAAAAGTTCAGCTAGCTAAAGTTATGAAACACTTAATTTGTTTACTTAATTATTAAGAATTCAAACTCAATTGGCAGTGCATGGTCACCTTTTTCCAATCCAAAGACAACTTCAAAATCATTGTTATAATCAAACTAGTGTCCTAAGGCCTTGTGTTTCAATCTTGGTTGATAATATTAAAACCTTTATTTCTTGTACATTTCTTTTTAACTTTCAAAGGATGTGGTAGGGCATTATTTTATCGCTGTGTTAGAGAGGAAGGGGCACACAGATCTCTGAGTTCAAGGCCAGTCTTGGTCTAGATAGTACCAGGTCAGCCAGAGCTACATAAAGAGACTGTGTCTCAAACAAACAAACAAACAAAGGATATTAACTTTCATCTCTTCAACGCACTGCTTGCAATCCCACATTATTATTCACTTATTGAAAACCTTAATCGCATTTGTTACACATCAGTTTCACTTTCAGGGTTTCCACTAACTACAGGGTCTTTTCCACATGGGTTCTAATATGGTGAGGAGACACAATCAAAACCTTTTTACTTTCCCTTTCACACATCAGTTTCCATTTACATGTTTCAGAAACAATTAGAAATTCCACTCCCTTTAAAAGATACCTAATTTTAAAAAAATAGAAGTTGGAAGAGTTATCACTACATTTTACTTCCCAAAGAATTATCTTTGCTTTTCAACAAAAGAAAACACTCCAACACAGAACTGACCTAAACAGTTCCCATAATTTTTTTAGACTATACTGTCATTCCTTAGAAATATGTTTAACTTCTCAAAAGTCCACATTTCTTCATTAATAATAGGGATAAAATGAAAAAATACAGTGACAATAACCTGTCTTCCAATTGACTAACACAACTGAGTTGCACTAACACAACTGAGCTCATACCAACAGGGAGGCACACTGTGTGTGCCTGTGTATGGCCCACGCACTGCAAAAATGAGCGCTTGTGTGTCTATTCTTTCTAAAAGGAAAAAATTAAATACAAATATAAGCCATATATTAAGCTCAAGTCAACATTTAGTAAGAGATGGAAACATTTTCCTTTTTCTTTTCCAAGAAAGGGTTTGTCTGTGTAGCCCTGGCTACCTTGGAACTACTGCTCTGCAGACCAGGCTGGCCTTGAACTCACAGATCCACCTGCCTCTGCTGAGACTAACAGTATGAGCCACCATGAACTCTTTTATGAGATATAAATGTTGTTCAAACGGAAAATGGAAAGGAATCGAAGTAAAACTCTAGCAATGATGTAAAACCGGGTTGGTTTTTAAAACAGTATTTGTTTTAAACTGACCAAGTCCAAAGTTTCTTAAGACGCCACATCCTTCTCCAAATTTCAGTCAAGGCGGACATAATATTATTTTATGCAGGACGTCCCCTTACAATGTAACAGACAAAAATAAATTCTTAACTTTTTATCACAAAGAACCTAATGCAATAATGTATACATCCTCTATACAATGTTTCTCTCAAGATTTCTCACGGCTAGGTAGAGCTGACTGGCAGGCAATAAAATATGGAGGCGACTGAAGGCCCTGGAATATTTCGTAGTAGAATAGCAAACCTCAAAAAAAAAGGTCAAGAGCTTAATGGGTTCCCGAAGCCCAAGCTGCTACGCTTCAGTTAACACTATTTTTACCGCACAACAAATGAATGCACGTAAACCAAAGAAATAGCCTATCCATAAATGCGCTGGCTTCTTCAGGTCCCAGCGCACCCTTCCACCACCAGCAGTTCGATGAGAACACCATACAATGAAATGAGTAAGCAACACACGCCATTCTGCAACTTTGAAAGACGGTCACAAATCTTCCGCAGCTCCCAGAAGAGCCACAGTAGCTGAGCAACTAACTCCCTGACACTAAAACGGGGTCCCCCGTTTTTCAAGCATAAGTTGCCAGATAACCACTCGGTGGGCGAAGACGCCACTTCTTGGCCAGTCCATCCACCGGGGACAGTCCTCACGTACGCTCAAAACACAATCGAAAGCCATTCCCTGTCCAGCTGGAGTTAAAGTTACTAGGCGAGCGACGTTCAAAGCTGTCTGCCCACAGAAACAAAGTGATCCGGGCCGTCAGCGCCGCGGAGCCCGGCCGCGTCCCCGAAACTCTTCGGGCTTGCTCCCACCTGGGCCCGCGCGATCCCCAGCGCCTGCTGCGGAGCCGGGCGGTGCGGTTCGGGGCGGTGGGGGATGGGGAGGACGGGCTCGAATGGCTTCCTAATGTATCATTAAGGAGCAAATGCACCGGTCTGGGGGCAGGAAAAGTTAAAGGAGCCGCGAGCTGACAAAGAGCGCCGGCCGCCGCACCGGGACCGCTCGGCCGCGGCGTTTGACAGCTCGGGTCCCGGCGCCCACAGCTCCGCGGCTCCGGGCGGCCGTGCCGGGCGGCGAGCTGGGCGTTCGCGGCGGGGCGTGTGCGGACGCCGGGCTAGGCCCTGGGGAAGCCGCCGGGCGGTTCTCCCAGGAGCGAGGCCGAACTCCAAAGTAAAGTGCGCGGCGCGGCCGGCGGGACCTGCGCGAGCGCCGCCGAACCGGGCCGCGCCTGGGCCGCCCCGCCCCCACCGGGCCAGGGGCCTGACAGCTCCGGGCCGCGCCGCCGCTGGCCGCCCGCCTGGCTCCCTCGCGCTCAACTTACTTCTTTCTGGCTCTCTGGAAAGGGGAAGCGCCATCTTTGCGAGGCCGGCCCCGAGGTCTTTTGTCTGCGGCTGCGGGGCTCGGGGCCGGGGCTCCGGGCTCCTCGGGGGGTGCTGGCGGCGGCTGCTGCTGCTGCTCCGCGCTCCGGTCCTCCTCCGACGACATCCTAGTCACCAGGAAAGACACATGGATCCCGGTCCTCCTCCTGGGGGGCTCCTCCCGCCGCAGCGGCCGCCGCCGCCGCCGCCGCCGCTGCTGCTGCTCGAGTTGCTCCTCCCCGGCTCAGCCTCTCGCATTTCCCGCAGCCCCGGGAGCAGCAGCAGCAGCAGCAGGTACCGGGAGAGGCGGCAACATGGAGCTAGCAGGACACGCACTCACACACATCGGCGCGGGCGCGCGCACTCGGCGCGCAGGGGCCGGCGGGGGGCGGCGGGCGGGGGGGCGGGCGGGCGGGGCGGGCGGGGCCGGCCGCGCGGGGCGGGGCGCCGCGGCCAGGGATGGGGACCGCGGGGCCGGGCCGGGCCGGAGGGCGGGGCCGCGCGGGGCGGGGCCGCGCGGGGCGGGGCGGGGCGCGTCGCGAGGGGCGCGGGCCCGGGGGCGGCCGCGGGGGTCTCCGCCCGGCCCCTCCCCCAGGCCGCCCGCGGCGGGAGGAGAAAGGGCCGCGGAGGGGGAGGGGAGGGAGGGGGCGGCGACGGCCACCCCTCCCCCCGCCGCGCCGTCAGCCCGTCAGGCCCACGCCGCGGCGAAGTTTTGACAGCTGCTCCAGTTGTTGTGGTGGGTTCCGGGGCGGCGCGAGCGCCCGGCCCCTCAGCCGCGCGCCGGCGGCCGCCGCCTCTCACGCCGCTCGCTCCCTCGCTAGCTCCCTGTCGCTGGGCTCTGGTGCGCGGGCGGCCGCTCCCTACGCTCGCCGGCGGCGGCGGCGGCACCCTCGCGCTCGGATCTCTCCCCCTCACGCTAGCTCTCGGCTGCAGCAAGCCTCGCTCCCTCACTCGCTGGGCTCCCCCACGCTCTCTCGCTCGCTCGCTCGCTCGGGGCAGTAAGGAGAGGAGGAACTTTGGCGGCCGTGCGTCCACCGCACCGGCTGTACACGCGCGCGCGGCCGTGGCAGCCGCGCGAGGCCCGCGCCCGGGTCCCTCGGGGCGACCCGCACCACGGACCTCTCAAACTCGCCGCCGGCTCGCCCACACACAGGCGCCCCCGCGCTCCCCCGCCCCCGGCGCGCCGCTGCCACTCACGGGGCTCGCCCTGCGCATGCGCCGCGCGAGGCCCGGCCGCCGCTGACCTCACCGCCCCTCCCCCGCCCGCTCTGACGCGGCGGCGGCGGCCGGTCGGGCTGTGGCGGGCGCTAAGCTGCGGAGCGGGTATTCCCGGATCAGGGTCGGGCCTGGCCCGGGTGGGGAGCGGTGTAAACACTCCGCAGCGGGCACCCGCGTGCGTGCGGTGCGCGCACGTGCGTCCGCGACACCCCCCCACCGCGGGCGTGGGCCGCCCGGGGCCCCGCGGAGTCCCACGTAGGCTTCCCCGGCGCGGCCGTGGCAGGACGGCGCTCGCTCTCAACGCCAGCTGTAGTCCGACGTCACGTTTTTAACACTGCGAGCCCGGGAGGCTGCTTGACAAAAAGCCAAGCGGGCAGGTTGGGAAGAATGAAAGGCGTCTACACGGACAGAAACTCGTCGTCAGCGCGTACCTTACGTGTGCTAAAGAGATTCAGAATGGGAATACTGCTAAGCTGTCTCCCACAAAAAACAAAAATGAAAATAAAACGCAAATGATACCGTAAGATCGGGGCCAGGAGTCGCCTAAG